GCCCAAAAAAGTTGGGTTATAAAAGTAGCAGGTTCTGTGGCCACTGGCCAGCCCAAAGCTGCGACCCATCTTAAAGTCATGATTTCAAATTTCCAATTATTGGGCGGATCAATTATTAATGCTTGTAACAATTTTAAATATTTTAATAGTAATATATTTTCTTATATAAGTAAAAATTTTTAAATTTGAGTTATAGTCAAGTGAGTGAGCGTGTTTAATAAATGGAAGAGAATTAATTAATTATCTTTTATTGTAAAATCTAAAACTAAAAAAAAAAAAAATATCATCAATGGTCGATAGCCAACACTACTGTTTTTTTTTTTTTTTTACCTAGGGTTAAAAGAGACGGCATGGCATGCCCCCTTCCATCCTCCAAAAGACCAGGACAAAACACAAGATTCAAGAAGATAACAAACCGTGGTAGGTGACGTCCAAAATCCAAATCATATATACTACTAAGTTTAAGGAATCTAGGAAACTTTGATTTCTAAATTCCGGGATTGGAAAGAAGTTGAGAAAATCGAAAAAGGTGCACATCTTTTTGCCACCCAATGAATCCCAAAATTAATGCCTCTTTCAAGTTTGCTGTGGTGAGATTCAGAGGCCACTTACTCATTATGCTCCTGTCCTTCATCATCTTAATTCCTCCACTACAACTTCGGATTCCATACATATTTCTATCGACATCGTACTCCCCATTAATGTTATTATTAGGATAGGATATGATGCTGCAACTCTTTGATTGCTTTTTCTTAGATGAGATTCATATTCATATAGCATTATTTCAAAATGCTTCCCACTTTTACTTTTTCTAAGGTTAGGGCAAAATTTATAAGGAAATTTTGAGAGCACTAATATCTTATTTATCAATTGAAACTATTCGATATCTAACTTTTAACTAATGGCGGAGTTATTAATAAATTAGGGAGAGTCATGAACTTCTTTGACCTTTTGAAAAGTTTTAAAATTAGTTATTGAACGTTGTATTTTACAAATTTTATATTTAAATTTTATTTTATTTACTTAATTATTTTTAATATTTATGAAAGTAATTGTCATTAATTTTTTTATGAATCTTGTCATTATATTTAAAATATAATATTGATATAACAATTAGTGACTTTTATTAAATATAAAAATTACCTTTTAATCTCTAATATTTCTCACAAAAAAATTAGTAAGAAAATATCTAAACATTTAACATTTCTCCGCCCCATGTCGTTCCTCCTACACTATTCCTATCGTCTGTTCCTACAATTTTATTGGATGCTTGAGGACTAAGGACTGCTTAATTTTTAGGTTTGGTTTTATTTGTGAACTGAATTTTTTAATGGCTAAGAGTATTCATTGTACTCTCGATAATAAAATTTATTATTTTATTAAAAAATATTATCACCTCTAAAATACCTAAAATTACTTTAAAATATTCATTTTAATCACCAATATTTATTTCTTTTCTAGGTCAAGCGTTAAAACTTTACGTTTAACTCATAATTTTTTACTAAATCAAATCTCTTTATTTTATTTTGTCATTTACTAATCTAACTTTTAATATGTTCCTATATTTATTTGATATTTTTTAGATGTGTTTTATTCTATTTTTTCTCTCTCACAAATACAACTAGACAATTATTCACTAATCACCAAAAATTTTAATTAAATACAATATATTTCATACTGAACATGACCAAGCTTAATTTTAGATACAAGTTTACAACTTCATGATTATGTGTTACTCCCTCTAGTGCTTTTTAGTTCTACCACTCCATCAAATTTATGTTAATTTGCTTGATATTTTATATAATAAATGGTTAACAATTGAAAAAAATTTTTATTTAAGTGAAAATATTCAATAAGCACTATATTTAATAAGAAAAAAAATTTCAATTGTCATATATTTTCTATATAGAATTATTAAGTCAAATTTTATACAAAAGTCAAATTAATACAACTAAAACAAGTGAAAAAAAAAATACCTTGACGCAAGTTTAATTTAGATGTCCATAAATTTGTCTTCCCCTCAACTCAAATTTTGACTCTGCCACTACAGCTAACATGAAGGTATATTATATATTTGTAACATACAAATCATAATGATAAACGTAAAGGCTCTATAATATTAAGAAAAGAAAAATAAATAAAAATGTAATTATGCCTCTAATATCCTTGAAATTAGATATTAAATGTATGCTGTAAAAAAAAAAAAAAAAGATATCAAAGGTATTCATTCTTGGTGAACATTCTTCTCTCTGGCTTTAGTAGTACGTGTCTTCTCAGCATGGAAGAAATTTTGCTGTATTACATTAATTAATTAGTATTATCGTATCTTCTTATCTAAACTTTTCTGCTTAAATTCGGCTAAGATATGATTACTTAAGTTTATTGATAACAAATGTAAATACCACTAGCTTTTTTTTTTTTTTTTTTTCTAAACTTTTCTGCTTAAATTCGGCTAAGATATGATTACTTAAGTTTATTGATAACAAATGTAAATACCACTAGCTTTTTTTTTTTTAAAAAAAAAAAAACAGAATAAGCTTAGAAACAAGATTAAGATTGTAGGCTTAGCTTTTCTGCTTAAGTTTTGATATCCTTGTGCAAGAATATATGTAGGCTTGGAGTCCTAACTTCCTTAGAGTAAAAGAGCAAACTCTAGGGGGTATCTAGAACACAATCATGATTTTTATTTATTGATTCTTTGAACCGTGTCAAAAAGGCCATAGTTTTGGCCTACAAAGGGCAGCCTTGAGTTTCCCATTCTCCCCACCACAGTCCACTGAACAGAATAACATATAATTAAAATTCCAATTGCACCTCCAAATAGTTAGTTCCAGTGAAAATTATAATAATTAATTATTATTTGTTAGAGACAAAACAAATCTGTGTGTACTTGTTGTTCATCATCATCATCATCAATAATTCAGTATACCAGGGGTCTCTCTGCACGATCAGTTGAACCCCCACATGTGCCATTGTAGGCTGTTTAGTCAGAGTCTGTATTATTGATTGATTGTGACTGTTCTTTCAGTTTTTATAATAAAGCATGCCCTTTTCCTAGGGGCCATGTATCTTCTTTGTAGATTTGGAATACATAAATATTCTGAATTTCAGATTCACTAGGGTTCCTCCTTTCGACATCTCAACTTTCCAATACCTTTTGCAGGTTTTGAACTAATTTTTTCAGGACTTCAATACTATCAAATATCAGCTAGATAAAGTTATGCTGTCTCTGTACTACTGTTTTCTCTTCTTCTGAATTTTAACGTAAGAGTGCTGTCAATACGTGTCATGGTGTAATAATATGCAAAGATTACATATACAGAAGGAGATCAATGCTACTGATCTGAAGAGTATGGCTGTTCTGATTATAGCCGTAGGATGCAGCATGCACCACAACTTTTTGTTGAATGGTAATAGTCACTTTTTCATTCCCACAGTTTTAGTTGATTTTTGTTTTCCAGTCAATGCATGAGCAAGCTGGTTTCTTCCACCTTGCAATGTATAAAACATATTAAGAAACTGCAGTTGATTATTCTTTCTTCTTCATTTTTTTTTTTTTGTTCTGATGTAGAAATCACCTACTCTGCTTCCTCCAATTCCTCTAGATCAAGTAACAATTTTTTGAGCTCGACTTGTTAAATTTGCAACAAGAGCTATGTATGTAGCTAGTGACCTAGAAAAGGAAATGGTAATTTGAAGATTTTTTTCTCTCTTCTTTTTTATTTTATTTTATTTTTTTTTAATTTGGAATTTTTGTGTATAATGAGGTTTTGTTCTTCAGTCTATAGTTTTGCAAAATAGATGAAGAGAAATGAAATGATTATTTTCAGAAAAAGACTAAAGCCAATTAGCCTATTCTTTCTAGATATAGATGGAAATGCCGTCAGGAATGACCAAAAGTATACACTATATACTAAAAATATGCTACAGGGCCAAGAAAATAGAATGGGAAAATGAGGCTTTTCTTTCTCTATATAGATATAGCTGGTTCAAGACCGTCAAACATCAATCAAAATTCAAAACAAAAATCAATTTACCATGCTGTTACTAGTTCTCTTAAATATATTTATAGAATTATCAAAAAATTAATTTGTAGTTTAAATTATACTAATTAAAGAATAAAATAATTATCTTTAAATTAAGATAAAAAATTTTATAATAAGTTTTTTTTTTTTAATTTACAAACTTGTATTTTATAATTTAATACAGTTTAAATTACAAAATAATATAACTCTAATATATTAAAAAAATGACTAGAAAGCATTACAATTAGGACATTGCAACACACAAATGTGCAATTCCTCACAAGAGGTACAAACCCTTAAAAGGTGTTGACACTTCACCTTTTCCTATGGTGTAATTTCCACCGTGGGACTGAGACCAATTCCTCACAATATTGTACACTCCAAGAATCCATTATGGTGTCTATAACTACCTTTGAAAGTTGAAACTTCAATTATTCGGTAAATAAATTCAAGGCATCCCTTCAACAGCTGTTCAAAAGAGTAAAATAAAAAACCAACAAAGCCTTGGCGCTCAAAGATAAGGGAGCTAGAGACTTTAGAAATATCTGGTCTCGGGCTCAAATATTGTATCTTACATGTTGTACTCTAACTCCATGGTAATTAGTTGAATTTGACGATCTAATTGTAAGATTGTAATGTGACTGATTGATATGAAGTTCATGAGATGAGTTTGCAATTATGTACTTCTAAAGAAATTGACTGGTCGGGAAGGTGAAGATAAAAAGAAGTGCTCAATGATCAACTTTTTCATGATTTATAATTATACTTTTGTCCATAAATTAATTATCATTATATCATACTATGAATCATCTAATCTAGCAGTAAAATTTTTTATACTCTTAGATATAGATTTATAATTCAATTTTTAATTTTTGCTTATCATAAAAAATTATTATTATATCATGACCACGTATAAATCTCTTTTATTTATCAAAAGAAAAAAATGTTAATTATTTTGCATAAAAACACCATAACTAAAACATTTCATTTCTATTAATGTAGCAATCTATTATTACAAAGTAGCATGTCCATGTAAAGTACGGATACTAATACCCAAACAACAGGGTAACAAGAAGCACACCAAATACCTTGGACCATAGGTTATTTTTCCTGTCAAAGGCACTCAAATCTCCAACCAGGATTTATTATAGGTAAACATTACTCAACTTTAAACTCCAACCATATCGTACATGCACACAGACTACTTAATACGTTAATTTTCAGATATATATGGTCCCCAGTGTACTGCGGACCAAGAGCACGGCAGGCTTGATTAGCCTCATCAGAACTCTCTTTACCTTAGCGTCTTCTAGCTGCGGTTTCCCTTTGAGCGTTGAAGTAAACAGCAGCCACAGGAAGATCCAGATCGTTTTCCTCTGCAAACTTCCTGGTGCAGAATCGATCCCTCGTCACTGGAATGCTCATCAAAGTCTCCCTCCTCTTCTGCTTGAACAGCAGGAACACAAACCTGTGGATCCCTATGTTTGGCCTTGGCATCTCGTAGTTCACTACTTCCTTCCCTGTTTTTTTTTTTTTTTTTGCAAATTTAAAACATTGAAAACCCATTTTTTATATTAAAAAATTCTAGATGAGGGGTTTGGGAACTTACCAAATGTAGCATCTGTGGTGCCTGGAATGTCTGTCACAACCCTGTGAAATAGTCAAAATCAAAATGATGAGCAGTTTTGCTGAATGTAGTTCTTTCCCCATATATATATATATATGTCAGTTTCTTTTCCTTCGTTTGGTTATTAATTTCATTTACAGAAAAATTACTACTTAATTACCCAGGAAATATATATATATAATACCAGTGCAAGTGCTCTCTCAGGTATGGATCACTCGGACCAGGAACATCAGGGTCAGTCATCACCTAAAACATTTATGAAGCAAAGAGTGACCATATATACATATCTCCAAAGAGGAAATTAAGAAGGGGAAGACAGAAGAGAGATTTTAGAAGTATATATACCAGAGTGAAGAAACATCTCATGTCACCTCCATGGACTTCAACCTTGGGTTTGTGGGTAACCGAGGAAGGGAAAAACTCATGACCATTGTAAACCTGCTTGTTGGAGTTGTAAGTGACAGTCATTTTGACTGAATGGGTGAAAGAATCAATAACATCTCCAATGACTCTCCCCACCACAAGAGGATCTGACAGTTTTGCCATATTGAAAGAGAAAGTAGATAAAATTGAAGAGTAGTGGACAAAGCTGTAATGCTAATTGGAACGTTTTTCTTATTGAGCAATGAAGTGGGGAGGCCCCCCTATTTATATTACTCGGAAGTACCTTTGAAGCTGCTGGACAGTGGAAAATGTTTTAAGAAGTGGAGATTTGATCAGAAATGTTTTATTTTCACGGCTATCTATTATGCTAGGACGTTTTTGAATTTTGCAGCTACCTTAAAGCCTGTTCTAGAGCTACATGAGTTTCTTAAATTAAAGTCATTTTCTTTTCTGATGGAAAAATATTGATCGTACAAAATATATATATATATTGATTGATTACTAAACTGTCACGGAGTTTGTGTAACAGTTTTATAAAAAGGATTTTTTTTAAGGTATAGGTTAAGAGTAATTTTTTTATAATAAATGTAAATAAAAAAATATAAAAATTAATATTAATTTTAATTTTAGATGAATTTATTTAGGTAAATGATAAATTAAAAATTGATTTTTATTTTTTTAATATAAATTTATGATAAAAAAATATATTTAATATATCTTTAATCTGTGTTCTATAAATCTAAAAAAAAAATTTATATGCAGATTGCATAACGTGGAAAAGATTCTTCTAATTATTCATACATTATTGGCTTAGCTAATGACATGCATAGAATGAATTGTATTGCTTCTATTCATTGGCACGCCTCAAAATGCACATGTTTTCAATTTGAAACTGTAAAGTCTTTTCTCAACTTAAATGAAAATTTATCCACTTCCTATAAGCGATGATGAGAAAATCATTGTCACATTGAAAAAACTATAATACATATTAATACATATGTATATCAAAGCTGTAGCTATGTTTTTGTTTTTGTTTTTTGTTTTTTTTTTTTAAATTTACAATTATGATGTTTTAAATTAGTTTTTATTCACGTCAAAACTTATAATTTTTTAAATGATTTTAAGGATGCAATCTCCACATCAATTTAGTACATTTAAATAAATCAAGTTGTAAGTGCTAACTCTAAAACTTAAACCATAAGTTTAGTATATGAAACCTTATTTACCGGTGAATCTAGCCTTCAGAGTTACATCATAGCTATGTTAATTAATTAACATCAAAGCAAACGAGGAATTGGTCAATTGTACTCAGGTCGTAACAATTAATTTTGTGTTTGAATCCTTCCATCTTAAATTTGGGAGGGCTCTCCGGAACATTAATGTATACCTGCATGGTCAACAATTAGGGCAAAGTCTGCAGGACTGATTTCTTCAAAATCAAGGAAAAGGAAGCTCACGAGAAAAGTAAGATTAGGGCAGAAGCAGAGAACACAAGGTGAACTGTTTAGTTTATACTTAATCTTTCAGAAACTGAAGAAAAGTAGAGAAATTCAAATGTGGGAATCCACCTTGATGAGCAGTTTCTCATTTTCCTAGACAATTTTTTTATCATAAAGTAAAGACAGATAGAATTTTGATTAGCAGATCCTGCTATGCTAAGACATTCTTAGAGCTTTAATGTATGTTTGGGTTAAGAAGAATGGAGGGTAAAAAGCTTTCT